ATTATAATAATAATTATTATTATTATAAATAGAAGGGTTATTATGTTTAAAATTTTAAAAAAAAGTAAAAAAAATTACCCCCGGGTAAGTAAGGCCAAGGCAACCTACAGCTGCAAGCTGTTAGCCATGCGCAGACGATGTGGAGTTCTTATCCAGTTGTTTTCGTATTAGTAAAAACTAGCCCTCCCAACTGGATAACGCCGAATCTCTCCCTTTACATCCAGAGATTATGAGAGACAAATCCTGCCGGCTCCTCCCCACCCTTATCCTCACCATCCATCTTATCATTTCTCCTCCTTAACATATATACATAACAACCATTTGAAGTTGTGTCCGTCACCATTTTACATGCTTTACTTAAATCCTCATTTCTTCTTCATTTAGTAAAACAAAGTGTGTGTTTGTGTTAATGGAGATGATGGATGAGCAGGAAGAAGATCTTGGCTCCTTCTCTTCTTTTGATGACGATGATGAGGCAGAGGAGTTGACCAAATCCTTCACTTCATCATCATCCGACTTCATCGATGATGCAACCTCTTCTTCCTTCAGTGCAAATTCAGAGGAAGAAGAAAATTCTCTTTTTGAGATGTCCGATCTTATTGCCCTGCTTCCCTTCAAGTAATCCCCTTTCTTTTGATCTCTTTTGTTGTGTATATGCAGATAATTTTATGTAAATTTTTTAGATTAGTTCGATGAAAATGTTTGGAATTTTGTTGCAGAAGAGGGCTATCAATGCATTTTGAAGGAAAGTCCCAGTCTTTCTCATCATTGTCCAACGCGCAGACAGTGGAGGACCTGGCAAAGCCTGAGAGGCCATATAAAAAGAAGCTGAAGTCTTCCAAAAGTTATGGAGGAGTATTAGATTCCAGTAAAGCTCTTTCTTGTGCTAAGGCTATTGCTAAAAAACCATCAAAAGGTTCCTTTTCCTTGTTGGGTCCAAAAAAGAAAGGTTTTTTTGACAGCAGCAGGATTCGGTTTCTATCCTTGAGCTCCCCAGGAGATTTCTCCGGCCAAGCTCTTCTGTTTGCTTGAAGAAATTAGAAAATAAGTTTACTTCTAATTAGATGATTAAATTTCATGAGAGTTAAAGCAAGTCAATATATACATATCAGTTTTGCTCCAAGCTTTTCTTTTTTTTTTT